GATCTTTGTACAGCTCAGGCATATCAAAAGTGTGGCCCAAGGGACAAAACTCCTACTTTCTGATGCCAATAAAAAAGGAACTAAATCATTTTAGGTAACTAACATCACAAATATCCTGTCATTCATAATTAAAGTGACAATGTGTATTTTTACCTTTAATCTGTGGAAATATCCATCTAAATTAAAACAATGATGTCCAGTCCTTGAAAAATATTGGCAGCTTTGTACCATATAACCAAAAGAATTTGATCTGCAGTACATCAGAGGCGGGTCTAGCGTCTTTGGAGGATGCCATATTAGACACCATGTTTCCTTCTGCTTGGCTCAAGGTCCTGCACCTGTTGATGTCACACTAGATGATTGACTGGATGTATGACTTAAGGAAGTTACGTTACCATGTTCAAAAACGTTTAGGCAGTAAGAAACACAAATTTAATAACAAAACTGCTTAACTCTTTCCAAAACACATGTGAAAGAACAGAATCAAAAAAGAGATGCAATACATTTTGGTCAAGTCATTTTTACGTAGTATGATGACGGCAGGCGCAGGACCCCGAAGAGATCCAGAAAGTACAGCGTCAGAAAACTACAATCGGCATTGCATTGGAATTGGAATTAACTGAAGGATCATCAAAGTCTGAGTAGTCACGCAGAGGTCATATGCTTTCGGCTCAACAGGCAACAACATTTATCGTAATGTTTGTTTAAACTAGCGCCAGTCACAAACTAAATGGTGTAACCCCCAAATTCCACTACCTCCGCTCCGCTGCGCTCCGCTCCGACACGAACGCCGGAGCAAAATCGGTCCCGTTCTAGTCAATCAGAGCTATTCCACTACTGCGGCCGTGCTCCGGCCGTGCTCCGGCAGTGCGGCGCCGTGCGCCGCCCTCTGTTCCGGCGTCCGGCAAAAATAGAATCGATCCTATTTTCGCCGGATGCCGGAGCACCTCCGCAGTAAATGGACAGAAATCACATGGCCCAACAGGAAAAGGAGCAAGCACAATTTCCGTTTTTCACAATAAATCGATAAACAAAAGGCGTTTTTTGTTTCATATGCACAGATTTAACAACTTTTAACCACTATCAATGGTGGCTGAAGTTTAAATGCACAAAATTAAGCCATAAATACAGTTTCCACTATCAAAGTAGACACACTTTGTTGATCCAAACACTGCTGATCTGTCAACACAAATGATGGGCAGATTAAACAGTTCATTTCGATGCTTCTCCCACACAACGGGTGTTTGGATCTAACTTCCGCGTTTATTGCTCGGACTGTATCGCAAGATCTCGAAAATCCCGCGCATGCTTGTTTGCCCCCCTCAGGTCTCCGCACCGGAGCGGAGCCGTTGTAGAGCGGGTACCAGTAAAAATTGAGTTCGGAAGCGAGCGGCTGCGGAAGGCGGGGGCGGACCGGAGCGAAGCGGAGGTAGTGGAATTTGGGGGTTAAACTACCCAGAAATATATGTACTGCACCCTAGCACCAGGAAACTACACACTGCCACTTTAAACTTTAAACATTATCTGTGCAAAAAATGACAACTACTTCCATTTAAGTTGGACAAGTTGTGCCAAACAAACAAAAATATCTCTAAAACTAAACCAATCTGTCATATTTTAACACTTTTAGTGCAAAGAGAAGTAGCTTTTATTTTTGTTTAAGATTTTCTTGTTAAAATTGTGTGCGAGGTATGTAAAAGTGGTCATAAAAAGCTTAAAAACTGATGCCACTAATTTTCGACATTACATTTTAATGTCAATACTGGCTGATAAAAATGATAGACCAATAATATTGGACATCCTTAAAGACTAAATTCACTGTGAAGTTGCTATTGCTAATGGTTAGCTTCTACTAGCTGAGACATTCTCTGCTGTTTCCTGGACATAAAACCAACAACAGCCTTCCCCATTGCGAGTCAAAATGAGTGAGTCCATGGGCGTTAAGTGACAGTGTGACATAGATCTGTCAGGCTTTTCAAATCCTAGCGTTTCACCATCTATTTTGTATCAGAAGCTAATGCAGGAGATAGGTGTAGGAGACTATTTTCATGTTCTGCCTGCATGAAGAACTCAGAGGAGTTTAATCAGAAATAATCATACAAAATGGTCTTGTGAACCACACCTTTAAAGAGCAAGTCACCCCCTAATAAACTTTTTTTGCTGATAAACTAAATAAACGAGTGTCTAACCGTGCTGCAGACACATGTCGTCAATAATTTGGCACTTCAGTGCATCTTAGTTAAAATTTAAACATTCTGCCTAAAACTGGCAGTGTTGTGCCGTTGTCAGGTAAAAACTCTGCACTGTATTTTAATTTAAATCTGCCACCGCCATTGGCTAAGAGGTATGTTATGATGTAAACTGGTACATTATGATGTTACAATGCTGTCGTGAGCCTGAGTGTGTGTATTTGTTAGCAGCTCCGCCCTCTCGGTCTGCCAGGCAACAGCATTTGTTGCATTTTTCAAACAGGAAGTGGGAGTTGAGTAAGAATCTGGTAGGGGGTGACTTGCTATTTAAGTAACTTCTATTTTCATATAGACATACATGCATACGTTTTTTGGCCTACTTCTAAGCAGTACTAAAACACAGTAAAATAACTTTAGCATTTATTTAAAATAAAAAGACATTTTTAAGGACCAGAAGGACTTTTCGCTTGACTAATTTGGCTTTTTTAGAGAACTTTGCACATCTTGTGCATACATTTTTATTATTTGTTCAGCAGCACCCATTAACATTGATTTATTTTGTGACAAATGACAAAAAAGAGGGTTTCACTTGGATGACTTGGCACAAAGCAGCTCCTAGTTCAGGCTACTGTTTGCTCAATAAAAGTGTCCAAAAGAAATCCATTTTAATGTGTTCAACGAAAGGCTGGAGAGGATCATAAACATGCCGGATTTTCTGAGATTCCTCACCAGCTAATGTCTACTTTCCTGTCCAGTTTGATGTTTTGCAAGTGAACTGAAACACCTCTCACTATGCACATTCTTGAGAGTTGAATTTGTGCAACAAGATCTCAGATTTCTGGCAAATAAAATAAAACTAATCATCGGTTTGGTCTCTTTTTATGTCAGCTGTTTTCCCAGGAAGGCTCGTTATTATTGGGAATTCTTTAAGAGAACTATACATGTCATCCTGCTGTAATGAGCTGTCAGTTATCTGACAATTTTCGGTTGGGCCAGTGTTTGTTTTTAAACGGGAAAGAACTGAATTACATGCTGCCTGATGTGCCTTTTGTGAATCATTAATTCATATAAGTGTGACGAGCAGGATTTATTGGATAGAACATTTTTATTTCTATTCCGTTGGCTTTTATTTTTCACATCGGTTAACAGCTGCTGCTGTATTTGCTAATCAAAATGCATTGGTGCACTATGTGCTTCTTTCGACCTTTATTACCAGGACTGGTGAAGTAAATACTGTTGGGAGCAAATCATCAAAGAAATACTAGAAGGAGCACTATCTTTAAAAAAACAGATTCATTCAAGTGATCGATTCCTTGTCTGTTGGACGGCGCACGCTCGTATCGATTACTGTACCTTCCGTGGTCCGCCGGTCAATAAAAGTGCAGATTTTCTGCCGTAGACGAATCCAAGGTTTCACCGCCCTTTATGTTGATCTAATGATGAGAAATTACACTGTTCCTGTAACCATGGATATTTGATGGAGAAGTAAAAGCTTCAGCTAAAGATTTTCTATACATCTTGAGTTCATTCTTTGCCTTTTGGTGTTGTATAATGGGCGTTTAGGATAGGTGGTGGTGACCTCTTCTGATGGGAGTCGAAACTAAATCCTACTGGGCCGAGCTGTTGACCCGTGTCACGACTCCTGGGGTCCCTGGAGCGAAGAAGCGTGAATTGTGGTGTCAGGTTCCCGCTGCAGTGGTGGGAAGTGTACGGGTTGTACTCTTGTGTTAAAGAGATTCAGATCAGACTTCTGCTCTAAGCTTTGTGTCAAAAAGAGCAGAGAGGTTGGGCGGCTTTCTGCCAAATCATTTCCTCATCTCCCTGCAGATACGTTCATTGATCTTATTTCTGCTGTGGCACTTAAGGCTGATTTCCAAATACATATCAGTCCATTGCTAAATGTTTGATGTTTGTAATACAGATCATGTTCTCGTTTGGTCAGTTCTAAAAGGTTCATATTTAAGGCTTCAAACATCACCCAAAGGCTTGTTTTGTTCACTCAGCGTCCAATAGAAATCCGATTTCTGTTCAATTAAACCACCTTTTACCCTCAGGGTTCTATTTACGTCCAGGAGACCAGAAAGGTCGTAGCTCCGAGAATAGTCCTGCCAGTTAGCTGCATCCCACTCCGTGTCCCCCTTTGATGGAGGTTTCTAATTTATGATGGTAAACATGCCCGCCCCTGTTGGCATCTCTTTTAATTATCTCCTTGGCACACTAGCTGGTCTGTTTAGATAAGCATCAGTATTATATTACTGGGAGCATGCGACCCGTGAATTGTGTCATCGCTATGCAGCCAGGATCAAATCCAGCTTCTCTGGTGTTTACTTGGAGGACAGCAGTGGCTCAGGAGGTAGAGCGGGTTGTCTGGTAATCAGAAGGTTGTAGGTTCAATCCCGGTTCCCACCAGAGAATGCTGCTGTTGCGTCCTTGGGGAAGACGTTTGACCCGCCTTGCTTGCTGGTGGTGGTCAGAAGGACGCCAGTGTTCGACAGTCTCGCCTCTGTCAGTGCGCCCCAGGGCAGCTGTGGCTACATCGTAGCTCATCACCTAAAAATGTTCTATACAAATGTAGACCGTTTACCTTCAGTCTCTGGCTCTTATTATAATTTTAAGCTTAGCACTTAACGATGCAGAGCCCGCCGACCTGCAGGGAGGTCGTTTTTTTTTTTTTTTATCCAATCAGTTCGTAACAGAAAACAGTTAGAGATGACCTCAGATCGTGCCGCAGTAATTGGTGAATAATACATTTTATACTCTTTAAAAACAAAAACTCTTTAAAAACAAAAATGCTACCTCGGATCCATCTTCATGCTTTCAGACAAAGTTACATAATGTTTCTTCCATCATGGGCGGTTGAGCAACCCCACATAAGTCCCATCTTTCTGGGGCCATAGGCGATTCCAAAGTCTTGACCACTGAGCGCACATCACTCCAGACACAGTAAACTAAATAAAAGCACACTGCAGGGCAACAGTTGGACAGCTTTTAATGCTTTCCCCTCATGCTGCTCTGGCTCCGAATATTCCCCCCTCGTAGCGTCTCTTCATATCCCTCCCACCAAACTCCCTCCCCCTCTGCTTCCTCCTCTTGTACTCTCTCTCCTCCTGTCTCTCGCCCATGCTCTCCGTGCCTCTTTACTGAGCACGAGGCATACAGATGTAAGTTTAATCCAGGCAACAGTCAAAGCTGGGAAATGCATCTTGGCCGTTTTTCCAACACGCATCAGAATATGCATCAGCCAGCGCAGCTGTCGGTGCGGGCTTAAGAGCTGGAAACCTGCTGGAGCTGTGTGGCACGTTTGACTCGCCCCATCTCTTTGTGTGGATGTATTTGTTGTCGCTCTTAAAGCTTGGCTTGAAGAAGTGTCACCTTCTACACTGAGCTCAGTTTTTAAATGAAACTGAAACTATCTGAAGAGATACGGGCAGCAGGAGGACACGAATGAATCGAGGAAAAACTTGAACGTTTACTGGATTTTTTGTAATCTTTTGCATTTATTTTGACTTTTGTTGCATGTTTATCTCAAACCAGATGATAAAGAGAAGCTATGATGTAGTTTCTGGGTTTGGACTCTCCTAGACAGGATTTTCGCCTGATCAAGGATCTGTCCATCTTTACAAATAATCTCATCTACCCCTTATTCCCCGTGTGATGGACACTCTATAGTTATGTTACTGAAGAAGGATTCGATTTAGAGAGATAGAATCTTTCATACTGGACTATCGAGGGAGTTTTTTTCTTCTTTTCTCCTCTATTTGATCCATCCATCAGAGAATTTAATTAGAGGAGGTCTGATTTGGACTGCCGGTCAGAAGCCAGGATGCAGGTGTCATTGGTGTGCACGGATCATCGTGGGGGGGTGAGCCGCAACACGGAGGACCGGCTGAATCGTCAGAATGCCAACAGCCCCAGCACAGGCACCCGCAGCAAGTTCAGAGCGGTGGCCATGGTGGCTCGCAGTCTCGGGCAACTTTCCGTTCAGAGCGTGCCTTCGTCCAGCGAGCAAAGTATGAAGACTGGCATGAAATATAGGTGGGGCTTATTGAATTTTAATCTTTAAATATATAAAATAAATATATAGTCTAGCCCAGATGACACACATTCTGAATTTTCTTCATATTAAAAATATTATATATATATATATATATATATATATATATATATATATATGCATATAGTTTTCCTTCTTTTCAATTTGTATATATTTAAAAAAAAACACCCAGTCAGAGATAGATGCTGGTTAAAGATAAGTTCCTCATTGTGATAAAAAACAAGATACTTCCCCTTTTGCCTTTAATCTGATCTACATGCTGTAATTCTCCTTTATGTTGCCGGTTTATAATTTGACCTCTAATCTGGACTCAAACCGTCCTAACAGAGCTCAGTCAGCTGCCTTTACTCTAATATAGATAATAATACATTTAGATTGTTCTTGGAATACTCAGCAGATATTTATGTGTCTTTACACTTATTTATCCAAACTGCCTTATGTCTGTGCAGGTTTCTAATATTTTGTGACCACTCTGAGATATAAAGTCTGTTTTATATCTGGAATTAGAACAAATATTTCCAAATGAATCAAAATGGTTTCTTATAATTGTCATTTAAATTCTTCAGGAGTCTGTAAGGCTGCTATCACGTAGCACAGGTTTTCCTCCGCCCGAGTCTTCAGTCAGTAATAGCAGTATTTACAGTTCTCCAGCGTTCATTCCAATTTCGTGCTTGAAGGCTTTTCGATTTTATTTCCAGAAGTTACTAAGCCCGTTTTGTGTGCAGGAACCTCAAGGGACATGAAAACCGATGGCTGAGTTTAATCTAAAAGACTCTATTTTAAGTTTTTAGGTTAATCGTTATTGCATAAATGCATTTGTATCAATTTTGCAAATGTCTTTATTTGTTTGGTGCATTATTCAAATGCAGCTATGACATGATGGAAGGAAGGGGAGCAAAAGGGAAATACGGCAATAATTCTCTTCAGATGCACGTTTGGAGCTCGGGGGGTTGAGGAGTGAGGGCCAAATACGGCAGCAGTACAGAACTAAAAAGTCTGTGTGCCGTTGGAGCACAGAGAGTTACAGAACATTATGATCTGCAACCATCCAGCCGGAAAAGCAACAAATCACATTTTATAAAAGTTTTTTTTGTTTTAGTCGTAACTTTAGTCCTGAATATTTGCTCCTAGTTCAGATCATCTCCCAGTAAGTTAATATTGTATGACTTGTGTCAAAATTTATCAGCATTATTTGGTGAAATTTTACCAAGAAAGTCCGTATCTTGGTCAGTTTATAAATATTTAATTTGCTATTTGGAGTTGCATCAGATCTGCTTCACATGTCAGACTTTAGAAGTTGCTAAACTCCTTCATGGTGTCTTTTAATGTAAATAATTTCATGAGTAAGATGTTTGTTTGAAAGTGATTATCAATGGAAATCCCTAATCTGAAGTTTAATCTGAGCAACGATTTGGGAAACCACACGCCCCAAACTTGGCGCCATTCTCAGTGGCATTACAGTCCTTTGCATCTGATTTTCTGGCAGCAGCCTCTTCGTGTTGGCACGCTGTCATTATTGAGGCTAATGATATTGAATGAGAAAAATCATTTTCATCTCAAGGGCCAGCGGCTGTTTGTGTTCTTTGCTCCTGCAGCGTGGTGCAAAGTGCACGAAGGGATGTTTTTGTAAACTCTATCTGACGTAAATCAAAGGTAAGGCTGTCCCGATTCGGCGTGAGGTGTAGAGATTTGTGCACCGAGGGAATGACGCAATGTTTATGGATTTTGTTTTGGAGCAAACTGGAATAAAAAGGACTGATTGGGACGGAAGAAAGAAAATGGAAAGTGCTGAGGTTAATGCTGGTGTAGGGCTGAAGCCAAGAGGAAGTACAATGGGCCGGAGTGATCTGTGCCCGTGTCACTGTGAATCTCTCAAACTCGCTTCTTGGAGTCGAAGCTTGCAAACCCTTTACCATAGCCGTCCATTTCTCTTTTGATCCTTTCTCTCCCTACTAAAAGAAGGAATTTTTTCCCTCCCATTTTTCAATTTGCCAGTAGACAAACAGAAGAGGTCGGTGGTTTTATAACTACCCCAAAAGAATACGGTTAAAGCCGTCTTATCCACCCAACTAAACTTCCAGATTATCCTCGCTGCAGAATATCAGAGGAAGTTCAGATCAGACTCATTTGCATACAGTCCTCTCTGTAGCCTTGAATGGCAGCCTTGAAACAGGCCTGCCTGCATCCATGAGCGAGGATGCATGTTAGTGAGAGTCTAAAATCATCAAACGTTTTCTCAAATGCGGCAGCTTTATTGGGCTGCTCATCGTCGTTTAATGGGACTCTGCGTCTGACTGATAGGCTGGTTAAAATCATCAGCCTCAACTCTGATCCTTCAAACGCTTCCGAGTGATGATTAAATGCGTTCAATTGGGACGGAATTAATGATGCACGCTAAATGGCTTGTGATTATGTAAAGTAGTGTTTCCTGGGGAACGGGAGAATGTCTGGGATTGGACGAGCTGTGCAGGTGAGGCCCCGGTCCCCTGTCTATCAGTCAGGTGTTGGCTCTTCTTTCATGCTGCCAAACCCTGCTGATCGAGAGAGTTTTATTTGCTAAGATGCAGCAAATCTCCAAAACCCTGCTGACTTTTAGGAATTTGAGTGTGTATCATACTCCAGCTGGACTGCCATTTTTGTGCTTTGCACAGACAGATTTAGAAAATTCTCCTTAAACTGCTTTGTGTAACATCAGGGAATGAAGAAATTGCACCACATTGCAATGTTTTCTAAAAAATGTAGGAAGGT